TTTAAATGGTCATCAATTTATTCGACAATATATGTTGATTCATTTCATTGTCAAATGAATTCAACTTTATTTTATTATTGTCAAAATTCAACAAAATGTATTTCAAAACATCGTCTTATGGATGGTATACAAGATTGTATATTAAATGATGATGAAACTATTTCTTATAGTTGTGAACTTGATGATCAACATTTTCGATTTCAATGTACTAATTCAGTAGGTAAAATTGATAAATGTCTTTCAATAATAACAGTACAGAATCAACATTTTGATTGTGATAATCGAAACGATGAAATCGATCTTTGAAAAGAATTAAATCAAGAAAATATACCTTTTACTACATTATGTGATGGTTTTATTGATTTAATTGATCCTGAAAATGACGAAACAGATGAAAATCATTATTATTGGTGGCAATGCAATAATATTTATACTCGATGTAATGACGTTTGGAATTATCAAAATGGTGCTGATGAATTAAATTGTTCATATTTACCTATAAAATGTCCAGGAATGCAACATCCTTGTGTATCATTACATACATCTAAAAGTGGTTGTTTACCAATTGAGATGGCTGGAAATAATCATATTGATTGTATAGGTGGTACAGATGAACGATATTTATGTCATTCTAATGGTCAATTAATATTTAAACCTTTTTCTTGTTGGAATGAGACAAAGTGTCTTGATATATATGATATTTGTGATGGTGAAGCAAATTGTCGATATGATGATGATGAGAAATTTTGTTCACAAAATCCATCATGGATAAGTGAATATGTTTGCATGCCGTCAGAAAATTATCAACAGACATTGGAAGAAAGAATTATTTGTCTTATTAGTTTAGAACAATTTCGTCAGGTAAACATCTTTTTTGCATTTGAACCAACTATCATATTGAGTAAACCAATAAGAAAAAATTTAATTGAAAAAATTCAACAAAAAATGATTTCATCTTCTAATAAATATTCTTTAGAAAAAATTTCTTCTAAAAATCATTTTCATTGTAATCGTGGACGAATCTTTAAAGATTCTTTTGGACAATTGAAATGTCTTTGTCCTCCCGCTTATTATGGATATTCATGTCAATATCAAAATCAACGTGTTAGTTTAACAGTACAAATACGACCAGAATTCGATTGGCATACAGTATTTCTTTTAGTTATATTTCTTATTGATGAAAATCAAGAAATTGAATCTGGTCGTATTTGTACTGTTAAACTAACACGTTGATTTTGATATTGACATGAATATCCATNCTAAGTGCTGCTGCCGACGGATCTATTTGATGACGAAAAGTAACTGCAAGAAGAGCAGTGACCAATGTAAGAAAAGATACTAAAATATCGAGTCGTAAACCGAACCAATATGCAGATGAAGAAACAATGAAATAAGCTCGTGAATTATTATCAATTTTGTCCATAAACATGTTTAAAAAATCATTTTGAATATTAAATGCTCGAATACTGGTAAGTCCATCGAATGATGATGAAAAAAATGTATAAATAGGACTACGTGTTACACTTTCGAGTCGTTTGAGTTGACGACTTGAACGTATATAGAATCGACGAAGCCACAAAATTGAAGGAACTAAAGGAATGAGAATGAAAAGTACCCATGGATTTGTTCTACCAATAATTGTAATAGAACCAATAATCAGTAAAAGATATTGCATAGTATCAATGAAAGTTAATGGTAATGAATGATCTAAAACTTGTTGATCTTTACTTGCTCGATTTAAGATTCGTCCACTTGGATTACTTTCAAAGAATCTTAATGAAGTATATAACATACCTTTGAGCATTCGATTGTGAAAATAGGTCGAACCACGGAGTAAAATATAGTAGATAAAACCAACACGTGTGATTGCTACAATTAATGTCAAACTTACAGCTCCAACATACAAATATACATAGATTGATAATCGTTGTTCTCGATTATCTTTATCAGACCAGAGAGCAAGCCAAGCATTAGAAAAATCATATGCAGCTTGATTAATAAGCATAAGGATAATCATTAAAGATAAACCAAACCATCGTAAAGGTGGTGCAGTAAACAATTTGAACCAAACGGGCCATGCAATTCCTCCTTCAGCTGATGTTTCATTTTTCACAATCGATTTCATATCTAAAACAGCTGTATCAGATGTCCAATTTGTTTCCTTTTTGTCAGATGATTCTTCTTGTGATGAATCATTTGATAGTTCATCTGTAGACATTTGTTTTATCTGTAATTGTTCAATATGACCATTTTTCATTGAAATCACTTGATCTGTTTCAACTAAGAAATGTATTTGATGTGTAATCAATATTCGAGTTTTTTTTCTGAAGAAAACCACGAGGACCAATACATTGATCAAAAATTAACTTGGCTACTTTTGGGTCAACAGCAGCAAGTGGATCATCGAGTAAATATAAATCAGTATCAGCATATAGAGCACGTGCAAGTGATAAACGAGCTTTTTGTCCACCACTCAAGTTTGTTCCTTTATCTCCAATGATCATTAAATCACCAACTTCACTAAAACTTTCGAGATCAATATCAAGACAACATGCTTTGATCACATTATTATAACGTTCATTATCCATTGGTTTACCAAGAAGAATATTCGCTCGTATTGTATCAGCAAATATCCAGGCTGATTGTGGTGCATATGAAATGGAATTAATATATAATTGTAATTTACCACTTGTAAGATTAATCTCATTTAGAATAGCAGCGAGTAGCGTTGATTTACCAGCACCAATCTGACCCATTACTCCAACTAAAGTTCCATTTTTGACTTTGAGATTGAGAGAAAACAAAGTAGGAGTATCTTTCCAAGAAAATGATGCATCTTCCATAATAATAGCATTATCATCATTTTCATTCGTTTCTTTTTCATGTTTATTTGACNATGCAATCAGCTGAAAGATTAGTCCGGGTAGTATCACGCCATATAAAATCAGCTGATCATCAGCTGTGAGAAAAGGATTAGTACTGGTAAAAGTACAAAGGTGAGTACCGAGCATATGGCTCGATATGCTCCAGGTGTAGAAGCTAAGTGCAAAGAGAGTGGATGCTAACTGTGGATCGTCACAGTCATCCCTTGGTCTTTGTTAAGATCTGTGCGCAAATATTCTCGATGGAAAAAGAGCAACTAACAAAATGTACAAAAACACAACGATGTTTTGTTTTCAAACTCAGGGAAAGGGAAAATATGTTATAAGACTGAATATTTAAGATGAAATGTTCATTCAATAATCGAAGTATAAGTATGTACTGAATATGAGCATATAGAACAACTCTTTCATCTTCTCCTGCTCATCGAAAACGATTGAAAATCGTCTAAAGTAGAATAAAACTTGTCTTGGTTTATCTGTAATCATTTTTGTTGCAGATTTGTATAAGTATCAATAGAGTTGAAAGTACTGAGAATAGAATTGGAATATATTTTTGAATGAATCGAATGCTGAGATACCCTCACCCTCTAAATATGAATTAACCGTGACAAAATTCTATATTAGTATATTTTGAGTTTTAATAATGAAGAAAATGATATGTGATTCTAACTAATAGTAACAAGCTCGAAAAGAAATTATTTCAATTGTCAGTTAATTGCAATTTCTTTTTGATAGAATCAATATGCATCTGAAAAGCCAGAAGATCAGGATCATCCTGGGGCTTGGAATTTTGTAATGGATCTTTACAACAATGTACAAGTTTCGAAGTTTGTGTCGAATGTCTAACGAAACAAATACCTTATGGTTTATTTGATAGTGCAGATCAAGGAAATGTTACTTGTCGAATTCTTCATGCAAATTTTGTACCTCTTTTGCCATCTGTACATTGTTTACATGTTGGTTCAACTGCGGAGGAGATGCATATAAAGATAAAACTATGAACTTTTATTACAATCAACCAAATTTTTAAGCTTATATATACACAAGTACAAATGAAGTATGTGGGAAAATAATTCTAAACACTTTTTTGTGATAAAAAGGTTTCGCAGTTGTCCTGTACACAGTCTTGTTCGTATTATTCATGGAATACCGAACGAGCAGGATATAAGGGAAAATGTTCAAGCATTTTCTTCTATATTAGGATATTCCGAAATCTAAACATGATCCGTTCAAAATTAATCTTCGTGTTACTGTAGAGCTAGCATGACATTGATTTCATGATGAATTTTCGAATTTTAACTCGGAAACGACTTTCCAGTTGGCAATCTTTCCCCGCGTAAATGAAATAAAAGAACTTCTTAGCTGTACAGATTTAGTATAGGAAATTGTTCCGTATACAACTGTTCAATATATGTCACGAAAAACAAAATGCCATTATATATTGTGATAATCTATATTTGAAAATAACTCGTGAAAGTTTTCTCTTATGTTCCACAATTCTATCTTTATTATTGTTCTTTGATAATATTGATTACATGTCTATTTTATTCACATATTAAAAAATTGATTAGAATAAAAAGTAAAGTTTCAATAATAATTTCTCCATGACAGTTATGTCAATCATATGAATATTTCTTATCTTTCACAAATGAAAAGTCTGTCAGATAGTAATAAACACGTTACACACATTTATGAGCTTTGATATTTCTATGCTAGAGAATGTTTCGACATATTTTTCTTATATTCTTCATCAATTCTCAATTAATTCAATCAGAATCTAATTATAGTTACAAACAACAAAAAGATTACGATTGTATATTTATCTATGTATCCGATGACATTGTTGAATATGTTCTTCCGTACATTCTTCGACATGAAATTATTGAATATTGTGTTCGACCAGAACCCAATGATATTAATAATTATAATTTATATTCTTCGTGTTATAAACATTTAGATTGTGATCATGTATGTTTAGATTGGCGACAAATTTGTGATGGAACAATTGATTGTATTAATTCTGGTCAAGATGAAGAAAATTGTTTTGAATTAGAAATGAATCAATGTCATTCCTATGATGAATACCGTTGTCATAATGGTATGCATTGTATTCCAATGGATTTTCTACATGATAACGCACTTAATCCCGATTGTATTGATCGTAGTGATGAAACAAATCCATATTTTGATTATCCAGCAAATTGTTCATTAGATATAGCATTTCGATGTGATGAACATATATGTCGACCATCTCAAACAGAAAATATCCCATGTGGAAATGGTCAATGTACACAGAATCTATTTGATAGATTTTGTGGTAATAAACGTGAAGTTTTATTAGAACAAATACTTATCGAACAATTGATGACAAGTCAAATTCATATAACTTGTCGTCGTGCAATGATTTGTGTAATTGAGAAAAGTCTTGAACAATGTCAAGAGACATGTTCAACAAAATCTTCATGTAATCGTTTAATTCAACAATATTGTCCATCAATTCCATTTACTTTTCCTTCATCGGCAATACTTTTTGGTCATGTATATTTTGTCTATGATAGTCAACAAATAATTCTTAATTCAAAATCAATTCTTATACCTAATTATATATGTTTTAATCGATATCTTTGTAATCATTTCATTCATATTCATCCTTTTATGAGTCTTACAGATGAAATTATTTGTCAAAATTTTAAATGGCCATCAATTTATTCGAATTGGTTTCAATTTGTAGATGATGTTAGAAGTAAATTTCAAATTTGTTCGACAATATATGTTGATTCATTTCATTGTCAAATGAATTCAACTTTACTTTATCATTGTCAAAATTCAACAAAATGTATTTCAAAACATCGTCTTATGGATGGTATACAAGATTGTATATTAAATGATGATGAAAATATTTCTTATAGTTGTGAACTTGATGATCAACATTTTCGATTTCAATGTACTAATTCAGTGGGTAAAATTGATAAATGTCTTTCAATAATAACAGTACACAATCAACATTTTGATTGTGATAAGGGAAACGATGAAATCGATCTTGGGAGAGAATTAAATCAAGAAAACATACCTTTTGCTACATTATGTGATGGTTTTATTGATTTAATTGATCCTGAAAATAACGAAACAGATGAAAGTCATTGTTTTTGGTGGCAATGCAATAATATTTATACTCGATGTAATGGCGTTTGGAATTGTCAAAATGGTGCTGACGAATTAAATTGTTCATATTTACCTATAAAATGTCCAGAAATGCAACATCGTTGTGTATCATTACATACATCTAAAACTGGTTGTTTACCAATTGAGATGGCTGGAAATAATCATATTGATTGTATAGGTGGTACAGATGAACGATATTTATGTCGTTCTAATGGTCAAGTAATATTTAAACCTTTTGCTTGTTGGAATGAGACAAAGTGTCTTGATATATATGATATTTGTGATGGTGAAGCAAATTGTCGATATGATGATGATGAGAAATTTTGTACACAAAACCCATCATGGGTAAGTGAATATGTTTGCATGCCGTCAGAAGATTATGAAAAAACATTGGAAGACAGAATTATTTGTCTTGTTAGTTTAGAACAATTTCGTGAGGTAAACATCTTTCTTGCATTTGAACCAACCATCATATTGAGTAAACCAATAACAAATATCTAATTGAAAAAATTCAACAAAAAATCATTTTCATTGTAATCGTGGACGAATCTTTAAAGATTCTTTTGGACAATTGAAATGTCTTTGTCCTCTCGCTTATTATGGATATTCATGTCAATATCAAAATCAACGTGTTAGTTTAACAGTACAAATACGACCAGAACTCGATTGGCATACAGTATTTCTTTTATCTATATTTCTTATTGATGAGAATCAAGGAATTCAATCGTATGATTATATAGAATATATTTCTATTCGAGATTGTTTAACCAAATTCGATATTTATTTACTTTATTCATCACGACCAAAGAATAATTCGAAAAGTTATTTTGTACGTATTGATGTTTATGATCGAATACTTTTAACATATCGAACAAGTTGGTTATTTCCATTGAAATTTTCATTTTTACCTGTACATCGTCTCTCTATACAACTTACTATTCCATTTTTGTCATCACAAATCAAATCATGTTCATTGAAATGTGAACATGGTCAATGTATTTCATTTGAAAATCATCATTTATTACATATAAAAGATTTCTGTTTATGTGATCAAGGATGGTCCGGTCGTTTTTGTACAATAAAACATGACAAATGTCAATGTTCATCGAATTCAATTTGTATTGGACATGGTTCATTTTGTCTTTGTCCTATTAATAGATATGGTAAAGATTGTTTATCCAATCATTTAATATGTCAACAAAATCTTTGTCAACATAATGGAAAATGTATTGGAACTGATATTCGAATGTTATCGAGTAAAAGTTCTCCAATAAGAAAATTTACATGTTTATGTTCCGAAGGATATTCTGATAAAACATGTCAATCTCTTGATCCAAAAATTTCTCTTAGATTTCAATATGATATCTCAATTCCAGCTTATATTCTTGCACATTTGATTACTGTTGTATCCAATTCGATACCAAATCGTATAACAATGTTTAAAAAAGTACCATTTGATCAAAATGAAGTTGTACTTTACATATCACAAAAATTTCATCTCCTTTTTATTGAATTTTCAAGCAAATATTATTTAACTATTGTCGAAAAAGAATTTAAATCATTTAGAAATTTATCAAGTGAAATTGTTTCTTCTCGTCGTTGTCGTAATATTAATGAATTATTTAATTCATCTATACTTCAATTAGATCTTTTACGTCGTGTTAAACTTTATCATTTATCTTGTGAAGAAAATCGTCAACTTTCATGTTTTTACGATGAGAATTATATGTGTCTATGCGATGTAAATTCACATCAAGCAAATTGTTTTGAATTTGATCATAATATGACTTATAATTGTCGAGGTAATAGATTTTGTCAAAATAATGCACAATGTTTTCAAGATGATTCGTCATGTCCAAGAACTTTCATTTGTGGATGTACAGAATGTTATTATGGAAGAAGATGTCAACTATCAACAAATGGTTTTGAACTTTCTCTTGATGCTATTCTTGGTTATCAGATTCGACCAAGTTTATCTTTATTACAACAAGCATTTGTAGTGAAATTCAGTCTGATACTTGTTATAGTAATGGTTACTCTGAGTTTGATTACTAATACTTTATCAATATTAACATTTCAAATAAAAAAAACACGAGAAACAAGTTGTGGATTATATTTGCTTATTACTTCAATAACTTCTCTTTTAACAATGATTTTATTTGCAATTAAATTCATCATAGTTTTACTTACTCATATGAATATAATAAATAATCGAATTTTACTGAATTATCTTTGTATTTCAATGGATTTCATACTTTCTAACCTTCTAAATTCAACTGATTGGCTTAGTTCATGTGTAGGAATAGAAAGATTTGTGATTGTTATTAAAGGTGTTGATTTTGATCGAAAACAAAATAAAAAAACAGCCAAATTGATTATACCAATTGTTATTCTTTTATGTAATTTAACTATTCTCCATGATCCAATACATCGTCGTTTATTAGATGATTTCGAAGAAAATCGAATATGGTGTATTGTATCTTATTCATCTTTTCTTAATATTTACAATTCGACTATTCATACATTTCATTTTCTTGCTCCATTAACAATTAATTTTCTCTCGACTATATTCATAGTTGTTATTATTGCATATCGAAAACAATCATTCGAGAAAAAAACATTAGGTTATCGAAAATATCTTTGGAAACAATATGGAAAATATCAACATATACTTTTGCCACCCTGTTTTCTTGTTCTTTTAAGAATTCCACGTTTAATCATTGTATATCTTTCCGGATGTATGAAATCAGCTCGTGATCCGTGGCTTTTTCTTGCTGCTTATTTCATTTCTTTTCTACCACCGATATTTCATTTTTTCGTTTTTGTTTTACCTTCAAGAGAATATCGAAAACAATTTCGCAATGTCTTTTAAGAAAATTTTGTTTGTTTGTATATTTTTAATATAAAATTTTCCAAAATGAATGTAAAAAGACTTCTTTTTGATTTATTTCTAAAATAATAAATTAAATGTTCTTAACACATAAGATTACAGATGTTCAATTTCGTTAAAGTATCTTCTATAATTATCATTCATTTCATACAGAAATGTTCATTAATATTTGAACGAAATAATATAAACATCGTTAACTTTATTTTAGATTAAGAATTGTATTGATTTCTTTGTTTAGTAAAAAACATCTTGTCAACTGTCATTTGACAAAAAATTCTAAAGAAACCGTTGGTCATGAAAAAGATTTCGTTAACATTGTAATTGCAACTGGTGATGTAAATGAAGAGAATCAATTTAATATTGTTATTCTTTCAAAAAGAAATGATTTCATATATATAATTTTATTCAAGTCTGACAAACAGATTTTTATCAAGATCTTCTCATTTTCAATCAAGAACATATGATTATTCTAATAGATGAAGACATTTTTAAATACATATTCTTGATTTTCTATTATTTCATAGAGAATTAAATTCAACAAAATTATTAACAATTTGGACACTTTCATTTTTAGAAAGACTTATATTGTGGATTTCCTCCAAGATCTTTATATGATTGTGAGTTAATTATGATAAAGATGTTGATATGTACATTCTTTACATTTATTATCCTATGAATTGTGTCTCATATTTGTTAATAAAACAGATGAAAATAGTAAATATAGAGTTGTACATAATTCTATTAATATAAACGAATATTATTTGGAACATCAAAATAAACAACTTCTCCTTGTTGTAACATAAGAATTCGATCACTATTATCGATTGTATTCAAACGATGAGCAATGGTTAAAATGGTACAATCACGAAATTTCTCGGCAATAACTTGTTGAATGATTTTATCCGTGTCATAATCAACATTTGCTGTAGCTTCATCAATGAGTAATATTCGACTCTTCTTTAAAATGGCTCGTGCTACGCAGATCAATTGACGTTCACCAGCACTTAAATTTGCACCGGATTCAGCAACTAATAGACGAAGTCCATCGGGATGATTTCGTACTAATTGTTTGAGTTGCACGGCTTCAAGTGCTGAAAGACAATCTTCATCTGAAAATTGTCCAAATGGATCAATATTATAACGAAGTGTTCCACAGAAAAGAATGGGAATTTGTGGAATAACACTTAAATGAGAACGAAGATAATCGAGTGAAACATTTTGAATATCAATATTGTCAATGAGTATCTTTCCACTGATTGCTGATTGATCAACAAGTCGAAAAAGGGCTTGAAGAAGTGATGATTTACCAGCACCTACAAAGAAAAATGACGAATCTAATTATATGTATAATAAAATAGTTGTACCTGTTCGACCGATAACGCCAATCTTTTCCTTTGATTCAATTTTTAGATTAAGATTTTTCAGTACAGGATCAAGTTCTTGACGATAACGAAATGTATAATCTTTAAATTCAATAATACCACGAGAAGGCCAATCTGTTGCTGGTTGAATGGGAAGATTATTTTCATTACTATTCTGTTGATTTTCTGATATCAGTTGACTATATTCATAAATACGTTCTGCACTAGTCATGGAATTTTCAGCTTCAGCTGATTGTCGCATAGCCCATGGGAAAAGACCTGTTAAAGTGATACAATATGTGACACTAAGTGCTGCTGCCGACGGATCTATTTGATGACGAAAAGTAACTGCAAGAAGAGCAGTGACCAATGTGAGAAATGATACTAAAATATCGAGTCGTAAACCAAACCAATATGCAGATGAAGAGACAATGAAATAAGCTCGTGAATTATTATCAATTTTTTCCATAAACATGTTTAAAAAATCACTTTGAATGTTGAATGCTCGAATACTGGTAAGTCCATCGAATGATGATGAAAAGAATGTATAAACAGGACTACGTGTTACACTTTCGAGTCGTTTCAGTTGACGACTTGAACGCATATAGAATCGACGAAGCCACAAAATGGAAGGAACTAAAGGAATGAGAATGAAAAGTACCCATGGATTTGTTCTACCAATAATTGTAATAGAACCAATAATCAGCAAAAGATATTGCATCGTATCAATGAAAGCTAATGGTAACGAATGATCTAAAACTTGTTGATCTTTACTTGCTCGATTTAGAATTCTCCCACTTGGATTACTTTCGAAGAATCGTAATGAAGTATATAATATACCTTTGAGCATTCGATTGTGAAAATAAGTTGAACCACGGAGTAAAATATAGTAGGTAAAGCCAACACGTATGATCGCTACGATCAATGTCAAACTTACAGCTCCAACATAGAAATATGCATAGATTGATAATCGTTGTTCTCGATTATCTTTATCAGACCAGAGAGCAAGCCAAACATTAGAAAAATCATATGCAGCTTGATTAATAAGCATAAAGATAATCATTAAAAATAATCCAAACCATTGTAAAGGTGGTGCAGTAAACAATTTGAACCAAACGGGCCATGCAATTCCTCCTTCAGCCGATGTCTCATTTTTCACAATCGATTTCATATCTAAGACAGCAGTATCTGGTGTCCAATCGGTTTCCTTTTTGTCAGATGATTCTGCTTGTGATGAATCATTTGATAGTTCATCTGTAGACACTTGTTTCATTTGTAATTGTTCAATATGACCATTTTTCATCGAAATCACTTGATCTGTTTCAACTAAAAAATGTATTTGATGTGTAATCAATATTCGAGTTTTTTTCCGAAGAAGACCACGAGGACCAATACATTGATCAAAGATTAATTTTGCTACTTTAGGATCAACAGCAGCGAGTGGATCATCGAGTAAATATAAATCAGTATCAGCGTATAGAGCACGTGCAAGTGATAAACGAGCTTTTTGTCCACCACTTAAGTTTATTCCTTTATCTCCAACGATCATTAGATCACCAACTTCACCAAAACTTTCGAGATCAACATCAAGACAACATGCTTTGATCACATTCTTATAACGTTCATTGTCCATTGGTTTACCAAGAAGAATATTCGCTCGAATTGTATCAGCAAATATCCAAGCTGATTGTGGTGCATATGAAATGGAATTGATATGTAATTGTAATTTACCACTCATAAGATTGATCTCATTTAGAATAGCAGCGAGTAGCGTTGATTTACCAGCACCGATCGGACCTGTTACTCCAACTAAAGTTCCAGTTTTGACTTTGAGATTGAGAGAAAACAAAGTAGGAGTATCTTTCCAAGAAAATGATGCATCTTCCATAATAATAGCATTATCATCATTTTCATTCGTTTCTTTTTCATGTTTATTTGACAATATATCGAGTTGCATAAATTGATCGATTCGTTTTGCTGAAACACAAGCCTCACTGAATTTTTCAATCGCAGTTGGTAATCCAATTGTTACAGGAACACGAACCATGACGAAAAAGGCGAGTGTTGTAAATATATTTTCCGGTAATAATGTTCGACCCAATAACCAACTTCCACCGAATGTTGCAAGAGTAATTAATGGAAGTGTTGTAAAAGCAAGTGCAGTGTTTAAAGTTCTCAAACAGCTCACTTTGTATATGTTCGAAAGTTCATTTTGACGTGTTTCACATACTCGTTGTTCCATTGCTTTTTCCCAATTATACATTTTAATAATTTGACTGCCATTGACAAGTTCATTGATCGTTTGTACACGTTTATCTGTACATTTCATTGTTATACGACGATATTTACTGAATTGTCGACTAAAAATGAATTGTAAAGGTATCAATAAAATAAGTACAGTGTAACCAAAGATTGTTGGTAAACCGATATACCAAAAAAGAAGTCCAAATGCCACAAGAGCTTCGACAATTGCCAATAATGGAGTATGAACAAACATACTAAGTTCTTCAAATTTATTAACATCATTGGCAACTAAATTGATCATTTGAGCTGCAGTTGTCTCATGAAGAGCTGAAGTATTGATTGTTAACAAGTGTTTATAGATAATAGACGATAAACTATTACGAATTCTCATTCCTACACGACTATTTCGAAAGAAGATTTGTTGAGAAAAAATTGCTTGTATTAAACAAGAAATAAAAAGTGCAAGACAAAGAAGATAATCAACGTAATATGGTAATCCTGATTGATTCTTAATACCAAGAACTATTTGACGAATAAGTAATGGTTGGGCTATTTGAGATATTATAAGTGGAAAAACAAGTATTATACTCAAGAAAAAATCTTTAAAAAATATTCGTTTTAAAACATTCCATGTTCCTGCCCATTGACAATCAAATTGATTAACTCGATTCAACAAAACTGAACATTTATCTTTGATCGAAATATCATCAAGATCATTTTCAACAAGTGTACGTTGATTACTCAAAGAAAGAATAGGTGTTATCCATGATTGAAATGGAATTTGTATCCATCTTGTCCATGATAATTCAGCCCAATCTAAACGTGATGATTGTCGTTGTTCATCTATGANAATATATCGAGTTGCATAAATTGATCGATTCGTTTTGCTGAAACACAAGCCTCACTGAATTTTTCGATCGCAGTTGGTAATCCAATTGTCACAGCAACACGAACCATGACGAAAAAGGCGAGTGTTGTGAATATATTTTCAGGCAAAAGTGTTCGACCCAATAACCAACTTCCACCGAATGTTGCAAGAGTAATTAATGGAAGTGTTGTAAAAGCAACTGCAGTGTTGAAAGTTCTTAAACAGCTCACTTTGTATATGTTCGAAAGTTCATCTTGACGTGTCTCGCATACTCGTTGTTCCATTGCTTTTTCCCAATTATACATTTTAATAATTTGACTGCCATTGACGAGTTCATTGATCGTTTGTACGCGTTTATCCGTACATTTCATTGTTATACGACGATATTTACTGAATTGTCGACTGAAAATGAATTGTAAAGGTATCAATAAAACGAGTACGGTGTAACCAAAGATTGTTGGTAAACCGATGTGCCAAAAAAGAAGTCCAAACGCCGCAAGAGCTTCGACAATTGCCAATAATGGAGTATGAACAAACATACTGAGTTCTTCAAATTTATTAACATCATTGGCAATTAAATTGATCATTTGAGCTGCAGTTGTCTCATGAAGAGCTGCAGTATTGATTGTCAACAAGTGTTTATAGATAATAGACGATAAACTATTACGAATTCTCATTCCTACGCGACTATTTCGAAAGAAGATTTGTTGAGAAAAAATTGCTTGTATTAAACAAGAAGTGAAAAGAGCAAGACAAAGAAGATAATCAGCGTAATATGGTAATCCTGATTGATTCTTAATACCGAGAACTATTTGACGAATAAGTAATGGTTGGGCTATTTGAGATATTATAAATGGAAAAACAAGTATTATACTCAAGAGAAAATCTTTCAAAAATGTTCGTTTTAAAACATTCCACGTTCCTGCCCATTGACAATCAAATTGATTAACTCGATTTAACAAAACTGAACATTTATCTTTGATCGAAACATCGTCAAGATCATTTTCAACAAGAGTACGTTGATTACTCAAAGAAAGAATAGGTGTTATCCATGATTGAAATGGAATTTGTATCCATCTTGTCCATGATAATTCAGCCCAATCTAAACGTGATGATTGTCGTTGTTCATCTATGAAGATAAAATCTTCATGATTTTGAAAAGAATTGAAATCTATGAGATAAACATACCCATTGATGAACATGCAAAAAACAAATGATCTTTTCTTATCAGAATCGACTTTTTTTTGTGTTTTTATTCTTTTCAACATAAAGGTAAAGCTTTGTCATATTTGTTGTATATGCAAAATAGTAAATTTGCTTCATCATCTATTTTCATATGGATTTCTTATCATTCTCACAAAGGTCTTGTTAAATCTTGACGGATTTTTTTTTCATATATTTATTATAAGAGATTGTTGACAAATTTGAAACTAGATAAAGAGTCATTCATGTATTTTTTTTATTGAAATCAAAGTGAATAGAAGATGATCATATAAGATCTTCAATTAATTGTGCAATTTGTGTTCGATTGTCACTTTCTCTTGTCTCTTTCGATATGATTTTCAATTTTTCTTCTAATTGTTTATCAGCTAATAATGTTTCAATAGCATTCAATAATTCTTCTTCTGTACACGAATAAGTGCTCAATCGAATTCCAAAACCTTTCTCTTCTATTCGTTGTGCATTATCGAATTGATCACCAAAAAGTGGTAAAACAATTAATGGTTTACCGAAATAGAAAATTTCCGTAATTGTATTATTTCCTCCATGTGTTATGACTAAATCGACTAATGGTAAAATTTTCACTTGTGGAACGATGTTTTCTCCCCACATATTATCAGGTAAAGAATATTCATCACCTAATGGACCTTTAGAAATCAGAAATCGATGAGGTGACTTTGCTAAAATATTAACTAATCGTGTCATTAACGATAAATCTGCCGATCCAAATGAACCCATTGATAAATAAATTAGTTTTCCTGATTGATTGACTAATTTTTCCGGTATTTGAAATTCACAGATGTCCGATGTTCGTACTAAAGCATCACAACGAATCCATTTTGGTGGATATGATCGTAGATCTGTGTAATCAAGTTCTTTTGAACACAAATAAAGATTAAGATAAGGAGAAACATTTTGAAAAAGTGGCCACATTTGTTTAGTCAATGGCGGTGCATCTTGTTCAATTACCCATTGATTAAGTTCTTCCCAATTTGGTTGAGAAATTCTTTTGAATTCTTTTCGAAATTCTTCCCATTGTTGTCGATCACCATTAGCTGGATAACCTGAGCCACGTGGTGGACAATTTTCTTCATTAAGACCTAATGGATTACTTGACATTAACCAAACCCATGGAATTCCTGCTTTGACTATTGCTGGTTGACAAAAATAATGATCAAAGATAATTATATCAGGTTGAATTTGTTTAATTATATCACGCAAAAATGGATCATTATATTGAACACTATTTATCAAATTACGTTGAACACAATGTTCAAAAGTGGCTAATTGATCATAAGAATTTTTTCGTAATTCATTTGCACAAGCTTTAATAAAATCTACATAGATTTGAGCTGGTTTTGTATCTTCACCATACAAAAACTCTTCAAAACCATAAGGTGATATTTTTCCTTTCCAACCTGTTGCTATTCCAAAAACAATTCGATGTCCACGTTGTTTCAATTCTTCGGCAATTCCAATAGAAGCATTTATATGTCCCAATGTATCCAAAGGTACGAATAATATTTTCAGTTGCTGTTTTGATGAAGACATTTGTATCTTAAATATTATATCGAAATTATATTGCCAAAAAAAGAAGTATATTAGTTTTTAATTCACTTTATCGGAATAAAAATGACTCTATCCTCAATTTAAAACAAAAAATATATGTTCTTGCGAAAAAAAGCGGGTGTATGTATTTTTTCATCGATCTTTATTCACAATCATCCTTGAAATATCTTGTGTAAGAATGACATAGGACTATTGAAATGAGATAATATCTATATGTGTATGCTTTTTCAACAAAAAGACAGATAAAAGATAAATGCAATTTAGATATCTATGATTTTGCAGCATCATTATTGTCGAAGAGAAAAAGGAAAGATTAAAAAAATACGAATATGGAGTATCAGCTAACATATCACTATAGACTCAATTGAATCTGCGTGAGATTAGAACGACTCATATTTACACTTAGGTATAGTCTGTTTTTAGTAATTAGATATTAAGTGAACCACATAAGATATCGTTTACACAAATATGGAAACAACGTCTAATGAAGTTACTACGAATAAACCAATTTTACTTGAAGATGTGAATTTACATGAAGATGATTTAACTGAACAAGCGAAAAATCGTTTTGGATATCACAGTACTATTTTACATGCATTTGAATTACATCGTCGACTCGTACTTGAAGCCACAGAGATCACTCCTGTGGGTCGTCATCTATTGTTATCTTTGCTTGACAAACTTCATACAGATAGTAAACAAGTACTAAACTATTGTGCAGCAAATAGTGACCAATTTCCACGTGACTTCTCAAACTCTGGTCCACTTATCTTATGCGGCCTTCCACGTACAGGTTCAACATTATTATACAACTTATTGGCGTGCGATACTGATTGTCGTGCTCCACTTTTCACCGACATGTGTGTTCAACCTGTTCCACCGATTCCACGTTCGAATTCTGTCGAACATGAGCGACGAGGTGTAATAGCAGGACAAGCCGCAAAATTAGACGAACAATTAGTCGGCCGAACGAGTTTCCTGAAAGAATCACATCCAGAATTTCCTATTGAAGAAGATATTCATATTATGTATCAAACTGGCATAGTATTACTACTAACAGGTGTTCCCAGTCCTCGTCAATCCGAGTTTGACGCTTGGATTTGGGATCAGACAAACAAGGACTTTGCCTATGATTACCACGAGATGTTTCTCCGCATGCTGAATTCTGTTGATGCACCACCATCACATTGGCTACTCAAATCGGTCTCACATTGTCTGTATTTGGATACTCTTTTCAGTCATTATCCGAATGCGTCGTTTATCATGACTCATCGACAGCTCGACAAAGTATTACCTTCGTTTTGCAGCATGTTGTGGGCACTTTCGCATGTTTATTTTGATGAAGACAATGCAAAATATCGAGATATAGTCAACGCACGTACTCTGCAGTACATTGATCAAATGATTAAACGTATCGTCGAGTTTCGCACTCGTAGACGTGATTTAGATCAACAGATTCTGGATATTAACTATGATGAGATAACACGACAACCGATTGCTACTGTTCGTCGGATCTATGACCATTTCGGCTTTCGTTGGTCAAACGAATTCGAAATTGCTATGCAGAATTGGCTTCGTGATAATCCGCAAGGTAAACAAGGTCGACATACCTACAGTTTAACTGATATTCATCGTACGCATGATGATATCAAAGCGCAATACAATGACTATATTAAATTGTTTCTCTCTTCATCTCCTACAACTTCAAGTTGTTCTAAAAATAACAACAATGAATGAAATTCTGTAACGAGAAAATAGTGTGATTACCTTTTGAGAGATGAATGTGATGTTATATGTTTAATTCGAATGATCATAACAGACATATCCGCCTGATTTCAAATAATTTCACACAATTGTTTTAACAAATCATTTCTGTAAATTAATATTTTGAGAAATAAATCGTTTATTTCAATAGGACGTATTGAACGGGTGTAGCAGAATAAATTAAAGATATACTCCGGACTGTCACGAAGTGTGCGGGAGAGACTTGTATTCGTTCATTTCGATATAATTCCTTTCAGTCATAAGATGAAAACAACTCGTTTATCATAAAATGTACGAATAAACTTCGTACAGTTACAGACTGCTTGAGCACATCGTAGAATAACTATTCGTATAAAATATTCTTTTATTTCTGTTTACCTTGAATCATTCTGATTATTGTACTTTCTCTTCATAAAAACTTTTCCATTAACGTGGATGGCAATGTTTTTAATATCCAAAGTTATTTCGTCTTCTAAAAGAACGATCCTCCTCTCCTCTTATAACTGTCCTAATTTATATACAGAGAAAGAGAATAAATCAGTGAGATATCATTCTAAACAGATGTCTATTTTTCTCAATAGTGGTACAAAACAGTAATAGAACAGTAAAAAAGAAATCCGTTTGTTGACAGTTGCATAAGAGATAATTTGTTTTCAAGAGATGTTACTTATCTTCTTCAAATCTTGATCTTTTCAAAATGCGAAGAAAAATGACTCGTAAGTATGCCAATAAACAACTTCAAGATTTCCAAAACCACATTGAAAAGATCGCAATTGTTGGAATACGTTGTGATTACTTTCCTGATCAATTTCTAATCTAACTGACATAGAAAAAGGGAAGTGACCAAGATTTACTCAAGATCGGAAAGCACAAAATCACTGTACTTACTCGAGAAGATAGTACAAGTCAAATGCCTTCTGGTGTGGAAGTAAAGAAAGTTAATTATAATAACTCATTATCACATAGAAGAATTGAACAAATGTTCCTTGATTAGCATAATTTGCAATTTTTGATATGAATTCAGTTTAGCTGATGAGAGTTCATAGTATGGTTTTGACATTCTAAATCGCACTGTTACTCTCCTGCATGATAGTAATACTCGTATTAAGACTATAGCACATGGCCTTAAACTGATCGAGCAGTCACTAATCTACTTAGTCTGAAGGTATTACCGGACGATGCGAATGATAAAAGCATGTGTCTCAACGATTTCAGAAATAATTTTGTACACGTTTCTTCTTTTACCTCAACTTTGCGTTGTTTCACTTCTACTTAAATAGTTTATTATTATGAATAAGAAATTCGATATAACAGATTTTATCTTATTATAAAGAATAAAATGACAAAGACAAATTAAACCGCCGACAACGTGAAGAAGTGGCGAATCGCATGTATGTGGACTGATTACTTCAGTTATTGTCATTGATATTGCAAAAATCAGTAATGGAATTCATATTAGGAGAAAACTGCTGAGATGAAGACACATTAAGCTGAATTTTCACATGCTTGTTCATGTTTCGAGCGTTATATCAGTACTTATCCAAATAGATCCCAACAGGTTCAGCTAAACTATCATCAACTGTATTCATATTGAAACCAAAAATATTGATCTTTCACATAACAATTTAATTAAGATTAGAGTGAACAGAAGAACAATAGAATACGATCAAATTATACGATACAGAATGTTCAACTTTATATGTAGATATCATCAAACAATAAGTATGAACAAATAGATGCTGTACCTTTTTTGGTTTATTTCACTTTGAAATTACTTGAACGATTGTTGATGATATATTCATGTTCATTTATTTGACAATAATGTCAAAACAACAAACCACAACAAAAGAGAAAAAACATAGTGATGATAAATAACAAAATTTGCTTAAACTAAAATTTTCGTTTTGTTCACAATGATAGAATATAGATGTTGATCACAGTTGAAATAATTATCAAAAAGCAAATTCTCAAGAATAAGAATACTAGATCATACATCGATGTCCATTCCTTTGAATAATCATCAGCAGATTCATCGTCGTGAATATAATGAATCTTTTATGTTTAGTTTTTACACTGTTTTGGATTTGATGACAACATGTAATACAGAACCATGTTAGAAAAATATAACGATAAGAGTAGCCGAACTGATCACATTTATCTTCATTAGGCGTATCTATAATATATTTGTTTTCAGGGGCGACGATGATGAAGATAGGTCTGAACGATCGCAAATATGTTTCGTATATCCTTGTATTGATGAAAGATGAGTCGGAGAAATTATTCTTATAGACGACAAAATACCTTTGTGACATGAGTGTGTCGTTATTATATATTTTGCTCTTCATCACCAAAAAGCACATTTATATTAAAGAATATTCATTGTTGATTACTTAATTCCTTTAATAGATAGTCATAAATGTCTGAACAATAGTAAGTGCATTTCTCCACAATTCTTTTAAGATGGTGAATCTATTACATCTGATCATATTCGAGAAATAATCTCTTTTTTTACTATTTCTATTCAATTTATAATGATTTTCAACAAATAAAAACTTGTGATATATTTTATATTGTTAGAACTTATTTCTCGTATAATGTATGTACAATATTTAATTTTTCATTTTACTTTATAAACTTTATATTGATATGTAATTGCAATTTATCCAGATCATTTATATTGTCTATCTGAAAAATTTCAAATATTTCTTATTTGTTCAATATGAATCTATGGTTTTATTATTCCTATTTTTAACAATATATTTACTTACTTTTCTTTATTTAATTCTATAATTTCAATAACAATGATTATTTATTTGAAATTAATTCATTATGTTAAAGAAATGAACACACAAATTACTTTTGTTAATATTATTGTTCGTGTATGATGTGAATAAAATATGGTTCAATATGTAATATTTACTTTCATCTCATTTATTACTGACTTACCGATATATCATTTTCGAATTACTTTTACATTTTTCGATTTATCTATGATAAGTATAATGATTGTCTTAAATCAATTTATTGATCAATTAAAAAGATTTATAAAAACAAGAATATAACCTGTGCATTACATCGTCTTTTCGATTTCTATTGTTTTTTTTTAATTTTACACGATCAAGGAAAACATATGATTTACGTAATTTATTTAAATCATAGAAGAAATCATATTAAAATTTTTATAAATAATTAATTTTGTGAGAAATTAACCAATCACAACAGTATATCGATGATCTGTGATCATTTTTTTGCATCAAAATCGATCACTGTAGTTTAATATTTTGCTTAGAGTAATACTTAATAATATTAAAAAAATCATACTTTACTATGTCTCACGATAATAGTTCAACTTCCTCTCTCTCTCTAATAGTATTTCATCTTCAGTTTATTCGTTTAGAATTTTCATAATAATAAATCACTTAAAATGTAGGATCTAAGGTAATTATTGGATAGAGCTTCTCAGCTTCCATCGACTCTGTAAGCCTGATGATTTGATTTACTATGTGATTGAATATCTAAGATTCTAGTAAAACTTACTTAGTAGAATATTAGTATTTAGTGATTTTCTTAACTATCATTGGTTGAAATTGATCAAAGAATGTGTCTATTAGATGGAACTCGTCAAGTTTTATTTTGATCTAACCTATAAATGAATATTATCGAGAAATATCGAAATCCTAATCCAAGATATTCTACGTTGTTAAAATTTGGTAAAAAAAGAGTGATTATTGTGATCTTCGATTTGTTTATATAGATTGTATACTACAGAGTTAATTAATATAATCCATTTGCATATATAATAAACTTTATATAAAACACGTGGTTAAACGTGTTCGTTTTGTCGTGCATGATTACCCATTGAAAAATCATCGTTATTCTTTTTTTTTCTATTTGATAGTATTCGACCTTACCGATACATTTGGTTAAAATTGTCATTAAAATTCATTTGTTTTTGATCGATTACAAATACAAGCGAATTGATTTCAATGAATACATTGAATCCGAAATATCAAACTTATCAATCAGTAGGATCGATTGACGATCAAGAACAATCAAAAAATGATCGTATTCGAAATCTAATATCAAATATTTTGACTGTGATCAGTTTGATTTTTCTCATTCCTGGTCTTTGGTATCCAATGATCAATATTCGTATCACTACTTTATTACAAATAATAACAATAGTAAATCAAACGCGAAGCATTTTAACATCAATTATGTTTCTGTTTGAACATAAAGCATATCTTTCTGGAATATTAATAACTATCTTTTCTGTCGTGATTCCATTTCTCAAAGCAGATTTATTACTATTAATGAAGTAAATTATAATTTTATCAAATTTAGATTAGAATAAAATGATTTGTATATTTTAGTATATTAAAAAGTGCACGATATAACTATACAGTCTATACAATTGTTCGTGATTGGGGTAAATGGAGTATGGCAGATGTGTTTGTTACAGCTGTTTTTCTTTCATATTTATCAACAACAGTAGTAACTAATATTGAAGCAACATTACTTCCCGGATTCTATTGTTTTTCAGTTTATTGTATCACTTTTTTATTAGCTGTACAAGTCATGGTTGCGCCACCTGAAGTGACTATTGGAAAAAGTTGAAATATTAAAGCATGTTTATGAATACATGGATAAACTGAAAAGAAAATACTTCATGCAAATAAATGATTTCAAAAACGACAATTTTCTTTATAATACAAGTTGCTCGTCAATATATGCATTTCTTTTTTTCTTTTAGAATATAACATAATTGTCCAATTACCGACAAAATATTTCCACCATGTCAATTCCTTTACTATTTCGAAGAATTACCATATAACCATTATTACTATGATTCTCTCCTATTTTGTAGACAAATTTCAAAACTTGTTTTCTATAAATATCACTAATGAATAAATACANTTGGCGACGAGAGTGAGATGGATACAGAAATAGAAACTGTGGCGCAAGTAAAACGTCATAAGTCAAAGAATTCGGAGAGGAACTGCCCGGATTCAGAACATCCCAATTAAATCCATCCAAAACCGTACATGTGGAAGCCAGCCACGATCGAGTAGATCCAACAGCAACTTTCCGCTCTTTTCTATGATTTTTCTCGGCCATCCACACTACCGAACAACATCTCATTTAACCGCTCCGACTGACTTGCCCATAACCATCTCCGCACCGAATCTTCGGCCAGGTTGAAATCGGATTTTGCATCCACCCATCCGTGAAACCCTCCTGCACTGAATTTTCGACCGCTTTCAATCCTTCTAAAAAATCTCACGTAAAATCGAGACTCTGGATGAAAACCCCGATTTTTAGCTTCTCGAAAATTTGCTCCTCTTGACTGAACAGTGATTTTCGTAGATTCTAATATGTAGTGGAGGGTTGGATGCTGAGAATATATGCGGAATGACAGTGGCGGACGATAGTTGATGTGTACTAAGGTGCTTCTGTATGGAAAGATATTATTTTAGGTCGGATTTTTTGGGAAGTGATCGTAGCGAGTCGGAACAAATTCTTGGAGAATCTTTCTCTTTAGTAGGGGACTAGTGCCTGCGAGGTTCATAATCGAACTGTGTACTGATGGGAAATGGCATAGCTATACCATGTAGTGCTGATGATTCTAAAACTGAGAGACATCCAGAAAGGTCAATACTCGAGCAAATCAATTCATCATTTGGGTAAAGAAAGATCATAGACTGAACTGTAGTTTCACGCAAAAATACCAAGAATTAATCACGTATGTAATAAAAAAAAACAGTGCAAACTTGAGTAGACAATCTTTTTTCAGTTTAAAAGTCTCAATACAAAAAAATAGATCCTGCCTATCAGAATTGTGCCTCTGACCTAGAGTCATGACAGATTATGTGCATATAAATTTTCAAGTTTCCAGCATCTATTAAGGCCGATTTTCCTCTAGGGACGGGACTTTTGTCGGCTACTGTATATTAGTTCGTTGTGATTTCCTAACAGACCAAAGATTATCTAATTTGAAACAAGGATGAGTGTGGATAAATGAAAATTGTTTATTTAATTAGAGAAAAATAGATGAATAAAGAATAAAGTCAAAATTGAAAAATATGAAGAGTCACAGAGAACTTTGATTTAAAAATATAAATGTTTTTCTTGTGATTGCGAAGAAACTTATCAAACCATTGTCAGTAATGGTCACTATAAGAATGTCCACATGTGCCGCACGCACTATTTCCGGGTTGCCAATTCCACCATCCTTGACAATTGCATCTACTGCAGTTACCACTTCCTTCTTGTATTTCCTCCGCCATCGTTTTTCCTTAAAGAATACTGTTTGAATCAAAATAAAGTTCTCACGGCAAAGACTCAGTGTGCGTAACTTACGTTTTCAAGTTGTTAGGCGGTTGAAACTTTTTTCTTCGTCGAAATAATTTATGGAGTGATTCGGAAGAGCAAGAAAACGGTGACACTCATATACCTCGTTTATCTTTAATAGGAATATCATAAAACATATTCAGAGTAGGTAATAAACGCTGTCATTTCCTTTATTCTCGTTCTAGAAACATCCTTTATATGTTTATAACCATAATTTGTCTAGCGAATAAGAATATTGACAGAGGTGAGAGTGTTTTTGAAGTCCATTATCCTTTTCGCCGAAAATCGATCCATCGAAAACTGACGACATATAGTGTATGCGTGAATCAGTGTTAGTTTTAATATTTTGTGCATGCAGATTCAACGATGAGACAAATATTTCTGAGCTGTCTAGTCCTGACTATCCTGCTCATTCTGGCGCATTAATCAAAGCAATTTAATACGAATCTTAAATTATCTTCTTGAAATGTAGGATATCTTGAACAGATTTGCACATGAGTGTATTCCAACCCTGATCATATTTGTTCCAGGTGGAACTCGGTGAGCTCTATCTATTCAAAAATAAATATATTCCGGGAAACATCCTTTCTTACCGATCAAAAATGAAAAAAAAACTTGCAAAAAAACCTTAAAAAACATGAAAATTTGAGAAAAACGCGGACGGATTCGTTTCTGCACTTCCAGATACAGCTCGATGAGCTGTATCGATTCCAATCATAACAAATTGTCACCCAGACACCAACACCCTCAAAATATTCGAAATAAGGAAAAGAAAAAATCAAACAGAATAAGAAATCTTAAGGCCAACTTAGACAGAAAATGGTTGTTTATCGAAAGTACTATTTGTGTTTGATATTTGACAAAAATAGAACAAAAAGTGTTTTGAAGAGAATGATCTTATAATAATATTTTGTATATGAAAGCAATTTCAAAAAGTTTATAAATGAAGAAGTATTTGAAGTATCATATTGAGAACTTGAAGAAAGAAGACAGATGTTTACAATGATCCTGGATATAGTCAGGTGAACAACATCTTTGCACTACCAATAGTTTTTCAAATCCTGAATCAGATACCCACTCTACTTTACGTGACAAAGTGAAGATAAAGTGCCACTCGTGACTAGAATAGTTTGAAAACGACGATCGAAAATGAAGCAAGTTTAGAAATATGCTATTTTGACTAATGTGACCTGAGTGAGTTTTCTCAAATATATGTAAAACAATTCCATGAAAGGAAAACGAAGATCCTGGGATCTAATAGAATTCACTGAATCTACTTTTTTCCTTCCTGTTTTGAATAGTATATTTAGGATATAGTCGTTTGAATCATAGAGATCATTATGAACATCGTCAATATCTTTTTCAACATATTATTAGCAAAAATAGCGTATCACCACAACTTTCTCATGAACAAATGAATTTTCATTTAAGTATGAATATCTTATCGTTTTCATTTCCATAAAGAACTTCCGCGCTTCTTCATTCCAATGTTTAAAATCACATATCTTCAACATTCAAACATTCTCGATTAACTTGAAATTTCTCGTTCGCGAAGTTTATAACGAACATTTCATTCAACAGTTAAAAAAACTAAGGTGATGCGAAACATCATCCACACCAGAGATGGGCAAGTCAAGTCATATTAAATAGATCATTTGAACGTATGCTAGAATGTGTTGTACTTTTCTATCTTTCTTCTTCTTGTATGAATGTATATGATAGAACAAGAGGAAAAAAGGTATTCTACAGTATGAAAACGGAAAATATCTGGTATTACCATTACCATCTGTAATTCTACAGACCGGTTGTGAATGAGACAGTGATTCATCAGCAAGCCATTCTTCTGCATTAACTATGTCGATTACGAATTTGCGTGGGTATAGGTGAGGGTGTGCGTGTGAGATCAAGTGATGCATAGCACTCATACCCATGTGATGGGCAGAAAGACACTTGCAACTCTCGCTACTTCTCCACCGGTAGAAAAAATCCCTAGGCAAAGTGCTTTTATTTTTAGACAACATCGTGCTAAAATGCCTACAAAAACACTAATTGTTAGATGTGTTCAAATGCAACAAAGAGTTTATATGATATTTTTTCACATAAATAGTTGTTGAAATTGGAATTTTTTCCTCAAGTCATGACTTGTGACTTGGCTCTTTTTGACTCGGCTTAATAGCGACTTGACTCGACTTGACTTTAAATTTAAAATTTTTTTGAAATGACTTGACTTGACTTGACTCGAAAAAATTGCCAGAGACTTGCCATGACTTATGACTTGAAAAAGTCATGACTTGCCCATCTCTGATCCACACAAAAAATCTAATTGAAAGTTTTTGCAGAAAAGCTACTCGTTTTTCTTTATTAAACCCTTCTTTGAAGAGAAGATTTTGTGATGTTAAAAATATCTCAATATTATGCGCATTGTTGTGAAAATAACGATCAGGAGTAATTGATATTGTTCCATTAAATAACATCTATGTTATATAATGATATCAAACAACATGTATGTTTCCATTCATTGTTATTTTAACATTTCATCCACCACCTCAAATGAATTTAATCTACTGAACATGAAGTGATTAATTGTAATAATTTGCTGAACTTTTCTTTAGTAAAATGAGGAGATGATCACAAGTCTTTATTCTCTACATGTATTATCCAGAAGACTAAAATATTTACGTATTAAAGTATTGCAAGAGCTTTATGAATATTTTACTCACTTATTAACAATAAACAACGCTCGTCGAGGGAGACTCGCATTACCCTCGACTGATTGGGTTATACTTCAGATAAAACTTGCGCTTCCAAATGATGTCTCGGGAACGGTCCTCGTCAATTTTAACCTTTTTCAAAACTAACCAAACAACTGTCATTAGGGGTGGACCATTTAATTTAATTTTACTTAATTAACGGTCGTTAATTAACGGAACCCGTTAACCATTAATATTAACGGTTAACGGGTTGCACTTAACCGTTAATTTCCACTTACTTAACTGATACACGCTNTTGACTAACGTGACCTGAGTGAGTTTTCTCAAATATATGTAAAACAATTCCATGAAAGGAAAACGAAGATCCTGGGATCTAATAGAATTCACTGAATCTACTTTTTTCCTTCCTGTTGTGAATAGTATATTTAGGATATAGTCATTTGAATCATAGAGATCATTATGAACATTGTCAATATCTTTTTCAACATATTATTAGCAAAAATAGCGTATCACCACAACTTTCTCATGAACAAATGAATTTTCATTTAAGTACGAATATCTTATCGTTTTCATTTCCATAAAGAACTTCCGTGCTTCTTCATTCCAATGTTTAAAATCACATATCTTCAACATTCAAACATTCTTGATTAACTTGAAATTTCTCTTTCGCGAAGTTTATAACGAACATTTCATTCAACAGTTAAAAAAAAACTAAAGTGATGCGAAACATCATCCACACAAAAATTCTAATTGAAAGTTTTTGCAGAAAAGCTATTAGTTTTTCTTTATTAAACCCTTCTTTGAAGAGAAGATTTAGTGATATTAAAAATATCTCAACATTATGCGCATTATTGTGAAAATAACAATCAGGAGCAATTGATATTGTTCCATTAAATAACATCGATGTTATATAATGATATCCTACGATACATTTATATTTCCAGTCATTGTCTAATCGGAATGAAAATAATAAATGAAAATATATTTTTACATTTCATCCACCACCACAAATGAACCAGATGTAGAAATTCTACACCAGACGAACTTGATTTACTGAATATTAAGTGATTAATTGTAATAATTTGCTGAACGTTTCTTTAATATAATGAGGAGATGATCACAAAAGTCTTTACCCTCTACATGTATTATCCAGAAGACTAAAATATTTACGTATTAAAGTATTGCAAGAACTTTATAAATCTTTTACTCACTTATTAATAACAAGTCATAATTATTTGTCTGATGTATCCGCTCTCGATCGTTTTATTTATTATCTCAACAAATCATTCGATGTAATTTTGATAAAATACATATGTTCTTGACAATCCATCATCGTAGCAGAACATCTTATTGTCATTGTTTGACAAAAGATCTATTATTTTTAAAAAATCATGAAAAATAAATTTACCTTGTTTCTTTTTTGATATCAAATAACATTAGTTTGCTTCATATGAAGTATTAAATGTTTTCTTTTTTCAATTAAAAATCTTATCTATCAATTTATAATGGAAATATATTACTTTGATCAATAAAGTACTTCTCGTTCAACAAACTCTGATAAATGGGTTTTCTCAATATAGTTTTTGAATAAACATTTGTTATGCACTTAGATCTTCTTTGAATATCAATTAAAATACTTGATGACTTAGTTTTGAACATATATAAACAGAATGAAAGAAAAAGGAGATTCTCTATTTTATTTCAAACGTTCATTGATGATTACTTTAACACAAATTTCTATATTCTTCTTCTTGGTTATATTTCATAAAGAAGTTTTATCAGAAGATGTACGAACAATGTTTATGATAAAAATAATTGATCGAAAATTTCAATGTTCTAATACAACTTGTTTACCATTTAATACAAAAATTGTTTCAAATATTAATATATGTGAATCAATTTGTTTAATTCATCAACAATGTCAAGCAATCAGTTTTCATTTATCAATATCTTTATGTGAATTATTTGATAATATATCAAATTCAACTGGTAATATGTCAATTAATACAGATATCATTACGTTGATAAGTATTGTTGGAACACAAACATCATTGGGTTAGTATACTATCGAGAAGAAAAAAATATGTTTTCAAAATGATCATTTTGAGGACAAAACATTTAGAAAATGTTCTTAGAGAAACGAAAGGTCATCTTAAATTGCACTTTCAAGTGTATATTTGATTTCTTCATATGACCTATCATATAATATGAGAATAGAATAGAAAGTAGAGATAATGTTTTGTGGAAGAAAAAAGATCCTTGAAGCACCTTTTTCAACTTAAGAGATTTTTCAAATTGAATCAAAGAAGATAAAATAAAATCAATTTATAGTTTAATGGGGAAATTGATGCTTTATTTGTATTAAATCGACTTTGAAAATAGGTTCTACCATAACAATATCTACTTTGCCAACACCGACGACAACAACAACAACAACAACAACAACAACAACAACAACAACAACAATACCAGGTATGTAATAAATTGTTTGTTTGCCTTTATGTTCACATCTACTGATTAGTCAAAAAATAACATGAGAAGATACAGATGATTCTTTTTCTAATAAAGTTTCGTTAAAAAGGATAGTCAAAATCAAATGCACTAATAGATAAGTCTATCAAGATGTTAATCATATGAATGTTTTAATTATTCATGTTGCCTTGTATATTGTTACTGTTTTCTCTCACTAATTATAACGGAATAACTTTGTAGTAGAAGAATATAAATTGAGAGAAGACAAATTATCTACAGCATCTGAACAACACAGAATGACAATAAAAATAACGAGTAAATATAAAACAATATTCAGTTGGTTCTTTTTGTTCACATGTATATTCGAGA